CCGTCGCATTGTGTGGTAAATTCATCTCTTTAAAGTCCCAGTATTATGCTGTCGGGTTTCCGTTGATGGCAATCGAATGTGCAGGAAGGTAGCTTCCACACCTGCGTAGAATATCGCACCCATTATACACACATGAGCCAGAACCAACCTTCGGAAGGAAGACGTGACCAGAGATTTTAATGCCTCATAAAAATCCCCCCGACCTCGGCTGGAATTGAACCCAGACCCACTGGCTCCCATATACTTTGTGTGAAGCCGAACATCCAGGTTCGATTTTACGTCAACATTTGACAGCTACTGCAAATATTCACAAGCAAGCTCTGTTCATGCGCGAAACGTTCACTGATAAAATTTCAAAGATTGTTATTTTGTGTCCCACATATGAATTTTTGCAATGTGATCAACAAATGATATATATGTGTCAGACACATACTTAATATGTGTACACATAAAAGCCATGTGTAACCACACATACTATTCATTTGACTCATAAACTTCATGCGTACTTTTGGGTGGATTCTGTTTATGTGTGGTCATTTGAAAATCATGTGGAATTTGACATGGAAATTCGTCAATAAAAATGTGTGGAATTTTATTAGTGTTGTAAAGCGTGAGCGGTACCGAAAGCTGTGCCAAAGTCTGCCAATCAAGTATCCGATGAGTTTGGCAACACTGAAGTTTTAATGACTTTTGTGATTGTTTGTTTGTGATTGTGCGAGAAAAAGAAACGTGATGAATTGATGTATTCAACAATCACTGCAGCAGTATGGAAATTCTATCCGAGTAAGAAAACTGGGCAAAGTAAACCAAATCTGTTTCAAGATTCGGACCGTTCGTCACACTGATTGTAGCGGAGGCCGGCGGATCCTCATAAATCCGGAAACGTTTATCAACCACGAGTACATCATGACATAGTTCGAGATTCTGGTGGATTGCGGCAAGCTGGACGCGGTTCTTCGTCCGTGGCGTTGATTATGAAGCAGAATGACAACGATAGCAACTGCGAGGCAGCAGTGGAACTGTTCAATCAGCTGCAAGCGGTGGGCGGCTACTTGAAGATTAGTGGGGATCTTGCAAAAAAAAAGTTCGATTTACTTCAGGTGAACAACTTTGAGGTGCCGAATGTGGTTCTGTTGTATGCCAAGGGAATAGTTTTAAGGGCCTAAGGATAGGGTTCAGCTTGTCAAAATGTACTTAATTTGTTTTACAGAAAGCCTATCTAATAAATTGTCTAAAAATGCACAATTGGAAATCATAATATTTGTTGAAATAATCCTGATTATTTAAACAAGGTGCGTGACTAGTAATGCCGTAGATCACTCATCTGGGAGGAAGGTGCCTGATTTGTATGGCACTATGTATCCGGCCACCCTGTGGCATTGGTCCATGTGAACCGTGATTACCGATATTGGAAACTATACTGGAAACGCCAAGCAAGTGTTCCTTGCTAAATTGGATGACCCTGAGAGTGACCTAGTTATTGCTGTTGCTGGTGATGATCTTGGCGCTGGTATTTATTTATCACTCAAACTTTGACAACTCTTGCAGGGAATTGGACGAAGTACTGGCTGCAGGAGAGAACCGAGCAAAGAATCTGTTTGTCTTCTAATCCGAAATCCGATCGTCTAGTCCGATGGATGTGTCAATTTCTTCCTGAAGTGAAGATCGACGACTGTCAGCAAAGTGCGAAACCTTAGCAACTTTTGGAACAACGATATCAAACAACAGTGATGCCGTTGCATATTATATTTTGTATCATGCTTGTCAAAGTGTGCCCTAACCGTGTGCCGTGATGTGTATCGGTTCAGTGTGCAGAGTTGATTACCCCTTGTGCTTTGCACTAAAGTTCTTTACTAGAACTATGTTATCAAGTGGCAGGCACATTGCTTCGAGCTAAAACGCGATGAAAAATCAATTAAAGAAGAAAACAAAACATGAGGTTGATAATTTGACACTCGAAACTGTTTTGTATCCTTACAGAAGCAGATCTCGCAACAACAAAAAAATGTTTTTAAGTAAAACTTGATTGAATTAAATCCACATGATTTTTCTGAAAGCGTCGATTAGTTGGAGTTCTTTTGAATACTTCCTGATCAATATAACAGTTAGATAGAATATCTGAGTGACGTCATTTACATTTTTGAACTGGAGGTGTTTCAAATCATTCACATGATGATATCTGATCAACCATCAATCGCCACAGCTGTTTAGCAGTTCTGTTTTGTATCTTTTGAACGAAACATTTTCAACACTTGGTTTCTTCAACAAAGCTGGCCTGAAGACTTCGAAACCATCAAAGTAATTAAAGGTCGAGTGTTAGTTGATTTTGTAAAACTACTGCTTACAATGTAACATAAAGTTATAAAACCCAATTCAATAATGGGTTGTCAAAAACCGCAACACACATGTTTCGAAAAGATAGAACTGGATACTAATTTTCATCCAACTTGCAAACTTATTTTCCTATTTATTCAGTTCGTCACAACTGTGTCTATAATTCAGACATATATTGATGGCCTTCCGAAAAACTATAGTTTTAAAATTTTCAACCATATTGCCACTAAACGACGGCGTGCATGAAAAATTTATTTACTATATGGCTGGGGGCAAGACAGCTATACTCAGAGTAAATATATTTGCAGCGAGTAAATTTGAGTTACTCATATTTACTCAAAAATGATCAAAGTAGTCTCAAATTTCTGATCAAAGAAAATATCGCCTGACAGCATATTTTGTTTGAAGCATCTGTTCGTCCATTTGACAGATCGAATCGTTCGTTTAACAAATTGTGGACAAACGAAATGGTCCTGTGGTGGTTTGACTGCATGACGGTTTTATGGGGCTTGTCGTTCGTGTGTGGCTTGGATGCCTTTCAGTGAAGTTTGACTCATTAACATGGATGAGAGGATGTATTTAATGGTGAAAAATATCGTAGGATTTTTCAAAAAGAAGCAGTAAACAAATTATTTACCCTTTGTGGAACCTTAACATTAAAAATCATGCCATGGCCAACAACCAAAAACAGTGCCGTACCGTTTTTGGAAACACGGAGGATATGTTTATTTCTTCAATGTTGTGCCCAGAACACAACATTTCATGAAATTCAAGCGTCTAATCCCTAAAGAATGATCGAGTAATGTTTTAAATCGAATAAAGCTTTCGGTGAATTTACAAAAATCATATGTTACCAATAATAGGAAGGCACTGTATTCTTATCTTTTTGAAAAGCGTGCAGACTTTATGTACTCTATTATTTTTTATATATTTGTATAAATTACGTTTTCATTGAGTTCCTGGAAGTTAAAAAAATATAAACGTGAACTATATTGCTCTAAGAATTGAATTTATTGAATTAATTTAGCCTAATCCGAACCTATCGAACCACCCCAAAAGTCCCTACACAGAAATTCCAAGAAAGCACGTCAACTAACTTTGCTTGACAGCATCGGTTTAAACGTAATTTTCAATATAACAATCAGGTTGCTATGTGTTATAAGATATTGAGCAACGTGAATTACTCAGAGTTACTCAAAATTAACTCCGGTTTTACTCATGATCGGAAGCTGTCTTGCCCCAAGCTATATGGTTAAAAATTTCCAAAACAATAGACTTCGGAAATTTCAAAATAATAAATGTGCTAATTAGTTGGCCATTTTCAACCAGCCCATCAAGGGTTTCAATAATTTGATATTATTTATACGCAAATTCAGCATATTTGTAGTTCTGTGTAAAAATTTCAGCTCAATTGGTCATGACAAAACTAAGTTGGCTAGTTTATTTGAAAATTGGCCAATTATAAATTAGCATAAATGATGCCCTTTAAAATTCTACTAAAAAGGCACGTGCCATCGGTTAGTCGATTAATCATAGCTTTGGTCATATTTTCGGAACCAAATATAAGATTCCTCACGTACGGTTGTAAATTTTAATTTCTCAGTGTCCCGCGAAGCTTTCTAGCGATGTTTTGGCCGCGCATTATAACAAGGCGCATAAATTTAGGCGCGAGTGCGAGCCGCATATGCTCCAACCCGCTATTCAAAGCACAGAACATGCATCGTACACCACTCGATATTTACAGACATGTTCCGTCTTTTGTTCGGCCCCCATGCAGCGATGGCAAAGTTGAAGCGAAAAGAAAACAATCTCGCCTCAAGAGTGAAGCGAAGACAAACACAGATCATCATTTTTTTTTACGACCACTTTCCGGCTATCAAATTTCACTCGAAAATGTTTGGCGATATCATCTTCCATTGTTTGACTCGTTCAGCAATGTTTGTTCGCTGCTTTTCATGACTAGAAATTGAAGAAAGAATAAAAAAAAAACTGACATGACAACCAGGCAGTAAAATTGCCCTGCCTATGACATGTACAATTTATTCGCCTCAAGAAACAGAAAAGAAAAGCTCCGAAAAAACTGGGGAAGAAGGGGGCATATTCGAAAAAAATAAAAAGAATCGCAAAAGTGCCTCAACAATAAACAACTTGTCTGATACTGCTGATGCTCCCTTGCGATGATTTTTCCCAGTTTATCTTTTCCTCACCCCATCACACGGTCGTCATACAGCAGACGACAGAACGAGAAGGCTCAGTTTTTTATTCGTTTTTATCCTTGTTCGATGAAATAATCAAAGTGTCAAACAATAAAAGGCTTCATCCCAGGCTTCATCAGATATGTTGTCGGTGACATTGCTTTTCTCGCCTACTCATAGGAAACACGCTAGCTAATTAATGGGTAAAAAAGACCCATTTGAAGAAAAGTGGCTTAACTCATTGATGAGTACATTTTTAACCCATTAATGAGTATCTGTTATCCATTAATGAGCAACAGTTATTCATTAATGGGTAGCATATACTCATTATTGGGTAACAGATACTCATTAATGGGTACTTTCAAGTTAGCGTGAAAAGTTTACAAAATTTCAAATGCTTTTCGTTTTGTTTAATATCAAAAAATCTAGTGCTCATCGGCCGCCCTTCAGTTTCTCAAAAGTCATACAACGATGATTCCCGTTCCGCGTTTTGTCATTCTTCGCCTCATTCGAATCCATGAATATCTCATTCAAAATTACCTAAAAATCCTCCTCTTCAGCGCATTGGCCATCGCCATCACCGGCATGCTCCAGTGGATCTCGCTGAATCAACCAAATTTCCTCGTACGCCTTAACGACAACCTGAAAGAATTCCCCTTGGGCGTCACCTTCGGAATCCTAACCGTGGTTCTGATTGCCACCCTGCTCCTGTACGCCCTGCACTTGGAATCGGTGGAAAAATCGCACTTCCGTTCCCGCAACGTCATCCGAACCCGGTACGTCGACTTCATTGTGCTGTGCCTGTGCGCTCAAGTGAACGACGCAACCGAGCGACTCCTCGGCCAGAGCACCGTCACCCAGGACCAGCTGGACGCCATGCATGCCGAAATCGAAGACTGCATGGAACGGTTTCGCGAAAGTGCGCGCAAATTGCTCAACGCCCCTCCGATGGCCAACCTCCAGGAGTTGGAAAACTACTTCCGGTTGACCCAACCCGGCTGCCCGGTCGGGGAGGAGATTCTGAAATTGAAAAGGTAGGCGTTCAGCGTGCGTTTGATCGACTTAATTTATTCGACGCTACAGTTTTTTTTTGTTTCTTCTTCCCTTTTGTGCAGAAGCTCTAAGCCGTTGCTTTCGGAACAGGCCATCAAAGAACTGCTCAGCTAGTGAAGGAAGCCTTGAACCAGCATACCTAAATTCGAGCCAATTAAGAGATTATCAAACAGAGAGAAGCTTTCAGATGTTTGAGTTGTGTTTCTGCTTTCTTGTTTTTTTTTTTTTATCCCCGATCTCTTTTCGTTTCGTGCCGAGAGTTGTTGTTTTTGAGTTTGGCAAGCTTTGCTGTTTCCCTGAGGATGTGTTTTTTTTATCGGAGAGAAGCTTCAAAACAACAAGGAGTAAGTGTCTACGACGATGAAGACGGATTTTAACTCTTATTTGGAGGGGGATGTTGAAATGCAATTTGGTACGGCATGATTCTATTTTAGAAGCTGTGTTCCCATTATGGATTGGTATGATGTTGAGCTTGAAATTCGTCAGGATAATTGAACAGTATCAATTATTGCTTTCATGATGTCATCGGAGCTGAACATTTAGAGCACAAATGGCGCAATTGACGCTAGCAAAATCGTTCTGAAATTCGTTTAAATTTAAAAGAATTTGATATTTCTTGGGCGAGGCGAATGTTTCGATTTGAAAATGCTAAGAAATAATATTACATTTATTGTGGAATAATTTGACGTTTAATAGCTTAATGTAACGTTACAAGCCTCCGTCAAACTTGGATTGAAGCATCCATCAATCTTGCATCCAGTGAAATGTATGTACCTGATAGCACAAACAAAAATACAGTCAACTCTCCACAGCTCAATATTCTGGGGGGATATACCGAGAGTCGAAGACTTTTGTCGCTAGTGAAGGGACAAATGTCACGTCGTGGTGACTCTGAATTTAGATCATTTTTTGGCGTTTTGGGCTATTTTAGAATTGTTAAGGCTCAAGACACCGTCACTCAATTTGGATTCTTCTTGTTTTTGAAATATTCTTTAATCATCATCATTAGTATACACATACAAGCCATCCGAAAATTTAAAGCATGCACCTCTACTCTGTATTTCGTTCAAAACGTAATTCATATAAAATTTTTTTTTTTTTATTTATGATAATTTCGTTTCGAACGAAATACAGAATAGGAGTGATGTTTTTCAGGCATTAGCAGTTTATCTCATATTTCGTTAAGCAACTTTTTTTCCCTCTGTTCGAGACCTAACACTACTAGGACCAGTAATTTGATCTATTGTAGTATATCCCGTGTCCTTAGCTTAGTGCATGTCGTATTACTTCATCACTATTGAGAAATGATGAAGTATTCTATTTTTTACAGTTTTCATTCTCGCATTTATCGCAAGGATCCGACTCTAATTGAAAGGTCCCGTTTTTTTCCCCGTCGGAGTGTTGAAACACCCTCCAAAGGCGCGCCCCTTTGTCAGTCAATATTGGATTCCTTAGCAACAAAATTAAGGAATGACACCGATACAGACCATGCATTAGAACCCTAGTCTTAACCACTTCAAACTAGAGAACAACGAATAGAAGATTAGGAATCACATAGATGAAGACTAACTAACTAATTTTTTCCTTGTTTCAAGATCATCCTCGGTGGACAAAGCCGAGTCTTGTCATTGTCACTATCAGGCTTGCTGAAACTCCTCTGGAGGTTTTAAAACACTCTTGTCCTGCGAGTTTAGCCAGCCCTCACCTCGAGTGAGTGGCGGCAGGAATATGGAAGAAGTAAACAAAAACTCCTCGAGAGAGAGGGAGAGTGAACTTCAGCGAGAGGATGATTTGACGTGAGGTGCGCTTTTCGAGACTCCGAGTGACTTTTTGACGTAGGACTACGTCTGTGATTTCTATATGGGGGTACACTTTGTAAAAACAGAAAATGGAACATGTAACAAAGTTATGAAAGATTTTGAACGTTAATAACTCAGCTTCCCCTGAACCAATTTCAATTATTTTAACACCAATCGATCAGAAATATTTCTACGCAGCTGTAAAATTTCAGAATTTACCATTTTTCAAAACGTTATGTGCATCTGTTGCTATAATTAAAATTATCACCGATTGCCTGCGAAAAGCGATTTCCCTATCACAGATTTCAAAGTGGAATTCCATCCGGTCTCACCAAACGGTGTTTATTCGTGCTCTTCGTGAATTGCTGTGGGCCATCTATGTCAAGCGCGTCATACTCAAGAGTAGAGAACGCATTCTTTGCTCGACTGTCGAGCTGTTCAGTCCGTATTTTCGCTCGAGTTCTCGATTCGATTTTGTTTCGTTTTGTGCTGTCGCGTTGCGCCGTGGAAGCGTCGCCACCTTCTCGCGTTCTGGCAAGTTTAATTGAACTTGCAAACACGAAACAAATGGTGCGTAAACGTGCCAATGAGCCAGCAGCGGGCCCTTCAAAGAAGGTGCTAAACAAGCCCAGCGCGTCGCAGGATGACGCCGGAAAACGTGTACTGCAAGCCAACCAGTATGCAGTACTCCCGGAAGAAAATGGCAATGGTGACGCCGTTCCCATTGCAAGATGAGAGCGGATTCCCCCGCTTTTCACACCGGTGAAAGATGTTGCCAAGCTGGGTGCTGAACTGGCAAAACACAAGCTGCTGCCTCCCTTCAAGCTTTGCAGCATCGGTACCAAAATCATGTGCTCCAACCTGGAGGATGTTTCCTGAAGAACAACAACGTGGACTTCTTCACACATGATCTGCCATCGAGCAAGCCACTGAAGGTGGTTTTGCGTGGATTACCATCGTTCGAGGCGACTGCGGTGAAATCCGAGCTGGAGCGGTTCGGGCTCAAGCCTGAGGCAGTGTACCCGATGAACCGGCGTCCCAACCAAAACACCAGCTTCCGAGATCAGTTGTTCCTGGTGCATTTCACGGATCTTGCGGCTCTGAGATCCAATATCCGGGACCTATTTCAGGTCATCATCAGTTGTGGGAGCATTACAAACCCCAACATCGTGATGTAACGCAGTGTATGAACTGCGTCTCATATGGCCATGGCACCAAAAACTGCCACATGAAGACAAACTGCGGCAAGTGTGCTGGAACTCACTCAACTGCGTCCTGTGAGCAAGTCGATGACATCGAGCCAACGTGTGTCAACTGCGGTGGAAACCACCAAGCCTCCCCAATCGCGGATGTCCCAAGCGAGTGGAGTTCATTAATATCCGTCGGAAGGCTACAATCAACAACCAGCTCGGTCGCCTCCGTAATCATCGTTCGCCTCCTGTACTCACGGAAGTCCAGTACCCAGCTCTCCAGCCCCGTCAACATGTTCCGAACCTAGCCCCGCTTCCGCTCAACAACCAACATGTCAATCCTGCGAGTATCCAAATGGTTCCTAACAGTCGGACAGTTCAGCATCGTCTCGCTGCTGCTGCGGCCCAGCCAATTCCAGGTTCATCCACCGCCCCTGGTTTATCATACGCTGGTGCTGTCTCAGGTGAATCTGTCGACGGTTCTCCGTTCACCTCGGAGGAACTTGTGACGCTCGTGGCCGAGGTCATCATCATCATGCGCACCTGCAATACTCAATCTGAACAGCTTCATGCTGCCTTGTCACTCGTCACCAAGTATGGACCGTGAAGCTATAAAAATTGCAAATTGGAACGCTTGCTCACTGACGAACAAGCATAGAGAGCTACTCGATTTCCTCAACACCAAGGAGGTCGACATCGCTATCATCACCGAGACGCACTTGAAGCCCGAACTGAACATATTCCTTCCCGACTTTCGGCTCGTCAGACTTGATCGCACCTGCTCTGGAGGTGGAGGAGTGGCCATCGTTGCAAGACGGAACATCAGTTGCCGGCTGCTACCAAACTTCCAGCTGAAAACAATTGAAGCCATCGGAGTAGAGGTGAGCTCATAACTTGGCCCAATCACCATCACCGGCCTACTGCCCCAAGCAAACCAACATCAGGGACGGGTCGTCAGTGGCCCTCCGCAAAAACATCATCAAACTCACCCGGAGGAGCGGGAACTTCATCATCGCTGGCGATCTGAACGCAAAACACCAAGCTTGGGGCAATGGCCGGAGCAATAGAAACGGCATCATCCTCAATGAAGACCTGCAAGAGGGCCACTAAAGGGTGATACGGTCAAAATTTGGTCAATATCAACTTGACGTATTTCTTTCAATTTTGCATTTAAAAAACCTGAACACCCCTCATTTTGAAGGTGTGTGTGTGTAGAATGTTGCTCCTATTTTGATTTTGGAATTCACTCTTCAGTTGTCAAAATGCCGTCCAAGCAAGAAGAGCAGCGTATCAAAATTTTGCTCGCGCATCGCAAAAATCCGAGCTACTCGCACGCAAAGTTGGCAAAATCGCTAAAAGTTGCCAAATCAACCGTTACAAATGTAATTAAAGTGTTTGGGGAACGTTTGTCGACAGCTAGGAAGTCTGGATCGGGGGGAAATCGAAAACCGGAAGCCGCTGAGACGACAAAGAGAGTTGCCGGTAGTTTCAAGCGAAACCCTAACCTCTCTCTCCGAGATGCCGCAAATAAGCTGGGTGTATCGTCTACAACCGTGCATCGAGCCAAAAAACGAGCCGGACTATCGACTTACAAGAAGGTAGTGACTCCAAATCGCGATGATAAACAAAATACGACGGCCAAAGCGCGATCCCGGAGGCTGTACACGACGATGCTGACGAAGTTTGACTGCGTGGTAATGGACGACGAAACCTACGTCAAAGCCGACTACAAGCAGCTTCCGGGACAGGAGTTTTATACGGCAAAAGGAAGGGGAAAGGTAGCAGATGTTTTCAAGCACATGAAACTGTCAAAGTTTGCAAAGAAATATCTGGTTTGGCAAGCCATCTGTACCTGTGGCTTGAAAAGCAGCATTTTCATAGCTTCCGGGACTGTCAACCAAGAAATTTACGTGAAAGAGTGTTTGAATAAACGTCTGCTGCCTTTCCTGAAGAAACACGGTTGTTCCGTACTGTTTTGGCCGGATTTGGCATCTTGCCATTACGGTAAAAAGGCCATGGAGTGGTACGCCGCCAACAACGTGCAGGTGGTTCCCAAGGACAAGAACCCTCCCAACACGCCAGAGCTCCGCCCAATTGAGAAATACTGGGCTATTGTCAAGCGGAACCTAAAGAAGACCAAAAAAACTGCTAAGGGCGAGCAGCAGTTCAAGGCAAACTGGCTTTCTGCGGCGAAGAA